ACAGTCACTATAAATCACGTGACGGGCAACCCACTACAAGCCGGCGCTGCAGAGTTCCTTGCCTCCAGCAACGCTCACCGGCGCAGATGTGAACACATGCTGAGCGCGCGACTTACCAGGATGCCACCGAGCTCGAAAAGCTCCATCGCTTATTGCACTAGTTGAGCTCAAACAATAACAAGCGCCAGGCAAGGCTGCCTGCACATCACACTGTCAAGAAGAGATGGTGATATCACCATGGTGAACAGGGCTTGACAGGCCGCCTAATCCAGCGGCGCCGGCAGGGCTGGACTCTGGGCAGGGCTTGCTGATGTGTACGGGGACGAAAGGGGGGAGGGAAGCCGATGCACACTGGAGGGAGGGGGGGGGGAGGGGCGAGGCCACTGTCATAGTCATGAAATAATTCAATCAGCAGAATCTTCCTCTCGTCAGAGGGGGGAGCCCCAGCACTCATCAAAGATCAGAAGGGGTCACTGTTCGAGAATAACTCCGATCTTCCGTGTTATTTGAGAAACATGCGATAGCCGGCGCAGTTATTGACTCCTATCTAACTTCAAATACCGAAACAATCTCGAGTGTATTTGGCCGCTGCGACCTTCTGGAGGTCAAATAAGGTCGCTGACCTGAGATGAATACTTGCGATGTTTTGTGTAGAAGGGCTATCTCGGTTAGAGGTAGCTGCACGATGAGGGTTGAGGGCACTTCGCATACCACTCTGGAGTTTGGCATTGTTTGACCTTATTCGATTCAAGAAAAATCTAGGAACCTCAAAATCTTACACAAGCGAGCTTATATACAGGCCTACCTGTCCCTTGAATTTTTTGTTTCTAGCTCTCGTAGGTTTTGAGATCTCAGTGGGATTAAATGAACCCAACCCGAGCGTGCCGCATTCACCTGACCACTCAGGCGCGCGCTAAACTCCAAAGGAGCAGTAGCACCTGAACCTCCTATGGTGACGCACTGGCCATAGTCCTGCAAGCTAACCCTCTGACGGTACGTATTTAACACACTGAGGACGAGCAATAGCGCACTCTCAGATCCACCAAGCAGTATCACAACCAGCCATCCAAACACACCATGCCTCCAACACCCCATCGCACTACAGCCTCGCCCCCTCTTCTTCAACAAGCGTTTCCACGTTTCCACGGCATTCATCACCTTATTTACTCCAACCGCCACTTCCTCTTCCACTCCTCCCCTCGCCTCAGCGCTCGTTTCCGCGCCTCCGCCGCCCGCCACCACCGCCCTACCGGAAGAACATGAAGTTTTTCCGCTTGTTCAGCCTGCTCGCCGCGCGCACGGTGGCCCTCTTCCGCGGCGGCTCCACCCGCCCGATCTCCGGGCTCTGGTCGCCCGTCACGCCCAGGTCCGACCTTGACCGGGTCAGGTCACAGCGTGACCTGCCGCCCCAGGCACGCTGACCCTCCGGCGAGATGTTGCACACGTCGGCCACCAGGTTGCGCTGCCCGGAGTAGCTGAGCAGACGCGTGGTGGAGAGCGAGAGGTAGGAGGAGGCGGTGTAGACGCCCTCCTCCGGCCGGCCGGTGACCTCCAGCAGGTCGTGGAACTCGGTCAGCTTGTCCACGATCAGCGTGAGGATGGCCGTGCCGTGGTTCAGCTCGATGAGTCGCAGGATGAGCAGGCCGTCGTAGCCGAGGTAGGTCAGCAGGTTACGGCAGGTGCGATCCAGCCGCTCCCCGTCCATGCGACCCGTGCGCCACAGGTAGTACCTGCCGACGTGGCGCGGGTCAGAGGTCACGCATCGGAGGTCACGTTATCATGTCATGTCACGTCAGAGGTCGGGTGACATTTCCCAAGGCGTCGAGAGCTCTGGTCTTCACAGATCATGCAGTTATCATTTCCGAAGGGCAGGTTTCAGGGTTGTCAAGAGCGGACTGCCATGTTTTGCTTTAAATTCTTCCCTGAGGTGCTTTTCAACGTGCACATCTCTGTGGTGTAAAACAATTACACCACATCGAGAACCCTAATCTCCAATGTCGACAAATATCCGTGTCATCACAGCTGGACTGTCACGATTTCTTTCAGTTGTTCCCGAGGATAGTACTGAACGTATGCACAACTCGGTCGTGTAAACCATTTTTTTATCGCATTCAAAACCGCGGCCTCATTGATTCTTCAAAACTTAGCATCACTTAAGGAGGTCCGCCACGAGTTTCTTTTCAGTTTATCCTGAAAGTATTCTTAAATGAACCCATGCTCGTAGTGCGAGTATTTTTCACTGCGCTGATTTTTTTTCGCCCACAATGTCGTCCATGTTTCAGGTCTTCACAACGGACTATTACAATTTTAACTATTGTGGTTCCCCCTATACTCTGCACAAAGTGCTTCTCAACAAGTTCATATCCATGGTGGAGGTTCTTACCTAACGCATGGCAACCTTTGACCTCCAGAGGGTGTATAAGTTCAAGGTGGTAAATACTGGACTGGCATGATCTCCTTTAAACTTTTCCTTAAGGTCCTTATCAGTACGTTTACTTCTGTGGTGCAAGTAATTTTCCAATGCATTTAAAACTCCGGTCCCCAGGCATTGTCCATTTTAGTTTATTACAACCGGGGTACTATTATTACGATTTTCTTCATATTTTGCCTCAAGGTAGTACAAAACACTTACATGCCCATGCCACAAGCCATTTGATTTTACTAGATTGAAATCTCTGGCCTCCTGTGGTCTTCATGTTGCCCCATCACCACCGCGGACTCAAACGATTTCCTTGAAAGTTCATCACAAGCTTGTTTCCTAACAGCCTCACGTTCATAGCGCAAACTATGTCCTACTGGATCAAAAACTCTGGCCTCCAGAGATCATGAAAGATCAAGGTCATCAAAACTGAACTCGGATAAATTTTGCCATCACGCACTTCCCATCCAGGAGATTCTTATGAAGCAAACCAGTAAAGCTTTTTTGGCTGCATTCAAAGCTCTGGCCTCTGAGGCCGTTTATATTTATTGATGATGACCTTAAACATTGCGTCCTGAAGCCCTGATTACCATCATCACCTTGAACGTAAACGACCTTTAGTGACTAGAGTTTTAGATACAGAATAAAATGGCTCGCCCAAAGAAATTGGTTCGTTGACAAGTGCCGTAAAGCAGTATCTAACGAAAATCCTGATAAACCGGTGTTGATGACACTGATATTTGATCTCTGATATCTCTGCAGTTGAAATCCCTGCAGGCCAGATTTTTGAAAGCAGTAAAAAATGATTTGCATCATTGGAATACGCTCGTTTTGCACCATCTAAGGGTGGACTTTGAAGAAAACTGTGATAGTCCTCTGAAATGACCTCGAGGTTAGACGACTTCTTGGTGCAGTATTTTTTTAAATGTAGTGAGAAATGGTTTGCTACATGAGAGTGGGTGTTAAACGGCCACTGCAGTCGATGCGCCCGCAAAACCCGAATTAAAGGCGTAAGGCTAAAATGGCACGGAAGGTACGAAGAAATGCCAAAAAGTCTCACAATAGGGACGATAACAGAATCACCAGACAAGAAGCATGAGGTGCGAGTCCCTTACTGCAGGTGCAGCACGGACATCATCCCCCGAAAAAGGAATAACAATGATTCAAACACCTACAATGCGGCTGTTTTTCCACGTCAGGTTTCTCTCCATCTGCCACTTCCAAAGAGCGTGTGGAAGGCAGAGCTGCTAACGTCCTCGGCTACAAAGCCCACCAACCACTTGATGCCAACACAAGGGCTGTTCTTCATACGAAAGCGGACGAATGCGTGTAGTGGCTTACGTGGCCGCTGCTTCAAGTGGCTCTGAAGAGTGGCGCCCCTACGATCGGGAGTGACCGAATCTGTTACCGTCGCTCTCACCATCAGCGCCGACGTCTTTGGTTCTAGTGGCTGGCGCTTTTCGTCACCACTAGAGCAACAAACACCCTCTTTAAAAATCAATACCTACTGCCCGTAAAGGGTATTTGCTCTGTTCGACGTGTTGACAGGTTCCACTTGTCCAGCTGTGTCTCGGCCAAAAAGCCGTGGTGACCAGAGGCGCACTCAGCACATAAATTACGGAGGCCACGCGGAGACGGGACGCCACCGGGCACTTAAATTGCCGTAAAGTGCCATTAAGCTGTCAGATGCTACAGAAGCTTTTTAAAAGGCCATGACTTACTCTTGGATGCCCCCTTTTAATCGCTTTCTCGCGCCCCTGGTCGCTGCCGACGGCTTGCCGCGAGCCGTGATTAACAAGCTCTCACGGAGGCACCGGCGCACACGGGCAAGGACTTAGGGCCGGCTTTGCCAAGGCCTGGCAGCAGCGGCTTCCCGACACACTTGACTGGAAGGGGCTCACCGGGCTCACCAGGCGCTCAACAGCGGCGGTCCGCGGCGGCGCCACCTGCGCTCGGGCTGATCAGGACCCCAGGCTCACGGTCGTGTGGCCGGCCTGAACGCCTGACGAAATCCCGATACGACATTGCGTCTGGAGCCCGTTCTCGAGTCTCAGCAATGGTGGTGGTTGGACTTTGTACGATTTATAATGGTGTACGCTGTTGTACGATGTACAGCAATGGTCTTCCTTGTGGTAATACCGTACACGGTTATGGTGTATGCTGTGCTTGTGCCTTGCACGGTAATGGTGTACGTTGTGGCTGTACCGTGTACGGTTATGGTGTATGCTGTGGTCGTGCCTTGCACGGTAATGGTATACGTTGTGGTTGTACCGTGTACGGTAGTGGTGTATGTTGTGGTTGCACCGTGAACGGTAGTGGTGTACGTTGTGGTTGTACCGTGTACGGTCATGGTGTACGTTGTGGTTGTACCTTGTACAGTGATGGTGTTCGCTGTGGTTGTACCGTGTACGGTCATGGTGTAAGTTATGGTTGCACCGTGAACGGTAATGGTGTACGTTGTGGTTGTACCGTGTACGGGAATGGTGTACGTTATGGTTATACCTTGTACGGTAATGGTGTTCGCTGTGGTTGTACCGTGTACGGTAATGGTGTTCTTTGCGGTCGTACCGTGTACGGTAATGGTCATAGTTGTGCGATGCCAGTCTCAGCCTTCTGTTCACGTCTTTCATGGGATCTCGCACAGATCCTGGACGTTGAACAACTTTGGCATATGTCCACCCACTGCCGGACCGTACCAAGTCTAGGAGCACTGTAATATCGAGGCTGTTTATGGACCCTGCTGGGATTCTAAATATTCACTCGTCCGAGGTTAGTCATAGAAAAGGGCAACTGATTACTTCTCACCACCCAATTACGTATGCTGTTCACTGCATTTGCGAGGAAAATTATTAACATGCATAAGACAGTAGTAATAGCCTTATTCCCCGGAGAAAACCCAGAAGAATGAAGATTTAGATGGGTTAACCCATTTATATCTCCATTATCCTGGTTTTTCTCCGAGGAAAAGGCTATTACTACTGTCTTGTGTACTTCTCACCACCAGACTACTTCTGTAAATTCTCAGGTCCAAAACCACGCTGATTCGGAATCGGTGAAACTTCGGAAAAGTGGGCGGTCCTCCACCATGTCCAAGCAAACAGCTTCCCAGCGTCATCTTGTGGTTAAGGGGAACGTTACACATTTAAAGATATTGAGGCAAGTATAATATATGATAAAATGAGCTTATTGGTAACTATATGTATGCTTTTAAGTGGTAAAGACTGCTCTGGACAACACAATTTCTCTTTTTAGTAAATATGCTCATTAATGCGGCCTTGTTTGAATGCGTCATCGCACCTTGCACAGCATTGAGTGAGCGTGGCTTCTTTTACGTGCTCATCCTGGTCCGATGTCGCGAAGTCAGAACACCAAACAACATCTGTGCTCAAGGCCCTACAATGAAATGTGTGCCTGAAACTGACGAGCATCAAAGCCAGAAGCCACCCAGCCAACGTATGCACCGTATCGTGGGCCACTGCCTGGCGTCACTGGAAATAAACAACAAAGGTAAAAGAAAATGCGACAACCAGCGAAAGGAATAGGATGGCTCTTTCGTTGCTGTCGCGTAGCCGTGCACTGGCGGCGCTCGCCGCACAGCGGGGTTAACACACTGGCGCCGCCCGCCGCACAGCGGGGTTAACACACTGGCGGCGCTCGCCGCACAGCAGGGTTAACACACTGGCGACGCTCGCCGCACAGCGGGGTTAACACACTGGCGCCGCTCGCCGCACAGCAGGGTTAACACACTGGCGGTGCTCGCCGCACAGCGGGGTTAACACACTGGCGGCGCTCGCCGCACAGCGGGGTTAACACACTGGCGGCGCTCGCCGCACAGCGGGGTTAACACACTGGCGGCGCTCGCCGCACAGCGGGGTTAACACACTGGCGGCGCTCGCCGCACAGCGGGGTTACACCCCCCGGGTACTTGACGGCTGTAGCAGCAGTCAGTGTGCTCAATTTGCCCTGCAAGTGACAGCTGAAAACGTTTGTGTGCCAGATCTGCGATGTCCTACCCGACCAATAGATTGTTCACCACCCGGTTTTCACGCACAAGGGTGGATCTAGGGCGTCGCCGTGGGTGGAGGGCTACGCCGCTTAGGAGGAGCAAATAGTAAGAAGGGTTTTTTTTTTATTTTCAAACGGTTACGAGAGCCTGCCTGTTTTTGCCTCCAAAATGTACTTAATGGCAAACCTACCTTACCACGTTGCTTACGTTTTTTTTTCAAAATCCGGAACGGCGCATTTTTTCACAACTTTTGCCGTCGTATTGGGGAGGGGCATCCCCTGACCCACAACCTCTGGCTCTGACATCCCCTGACCCATAACCTCTGGCTCTGACATCCCCTGACCCATAACCTCTGGCTCTAACCATGACCCTCGCGACGGGTGCTGACCTGACGAAACTACGCCGGGAGGTCATGGAGGAGCGGAACAGCCAGATGAGCGTGCTGTACACGGTCAGCGGCAGCAGGGCGGCCACGTAGAACCAGAGCACGCCGAAGATCTTCTCGTTGAACAGGTTGATGGGCAGCACACACTGGCACGTGTAGTGCTCCAGGGCGCCCTGGTTGGCAGCCGACACCTGATGGGGAGGGGGGGGGGGTGGAGGGGGCGGGGAGGGCCGGCACGGGTCAGTCCAAAACACGAAGCGATACCCTAAGACTGACCGTATCACAGCCGAAGCAAAAGCTGTTGTTTTGGTCTGGTGTGGGCTTGTACATCGTTTCCGTAAATTAGAAATTGACAGAGTTGGTCAACCGATTTCACGTTTCGCAGTCTTCAGCGAATCATCTGAAATTCGTGCTTACGATTCTGTGGAGACCCTTTAGGCATATCGCGGATTGTTAGCAAATAATACATGAGTGTCACTTGCATGGTATCGCAGAAAGACAAGCTATGTGACCTAAATACAAAATAATAATTTACTCGTCCACGTGTGGTGCATTTTTGGCCGCTATTCGTGCCGACCACACACATACATATCTTTTGTGCGACCAGTCTTGTTTCTAATCCACAACAAGAATCTCCACAGTCGTCTATACACACCAGTCAACACACACCACACCCTGCCATGTTGTGTCCCCAACTGTCACTCCCTGCCACTGTTCCTCCCCCGGTCTGGTCACCTCCTGCCGCACACCGCTGTCTGGCACGTGAGACCCTCATAACTCCAGACCCCTCACTGCCTGCCACCGTCCCTTCCCCGGTCTGGTCACCTCCGGTTGCACACCGCTGTCTGGCACGTGAGACCCTCATGACTCCAGACCCCTCACTGCCCGCCACCGTCCCTTCCCCGGTCTGGCCACCTCCTGCTGCGCACCACTGTCCGGCACGTGAGCCCCTCACCTGGCAGAGTGTGTGCAGCGGAAACAGGGTGGACGTGTACCAGTTCCTGTTAGACAGGTACGTCCGCAGCACTTGGAAACCATGCGCGATGTAAGCCGAGCCTGCGACGCACAAGACGGGACTCGTCACAATCATCAGGGGGAGGCTCATGGCCGTGCGGGACGGACAGGATAACAAAAGCAGTGAGAAAATGTCTTGCAACACCGTTAGGGACGTTCCTGCAGACCATATGCATCCATTGTCAACTTGCAGCCCGTGAGTGTGATTTATGTGGCCAAAAGCAAACTACGGAATAATTTGCATGCTGTAAGATTGTGTCTTAGTGTGATAAAAATCGGGCTGAGTTTGCAGATACTCTACTTCAAGCCCAGTTGTTTCCTTCAAACGAGCAGTGAGAAGATGATGTGTCAAAGGTGTTATGCGGCTGGTGGATCGCGAATAAGCGTATGGGCATCCGATTTCGGGCAGCTGCACAAGGTGCAAGGACTGAAAGACCAGATTTACTCGATGAAGTCTCATGTCCTTGCCGAGGGGTGCACGACCTCGTCGTAGTTTAATCGATCCAATTTGTCTACACAGGGCTACTTTTCCAGCAGATAGTCACGTTGAAGGTTTGTGTTCCTCTCTGCCATCTCCCCAGTCGTTTCCCGTTCGTCCCGTCCTCACCTCACGCCCTGCGACCAACACTACGACCAACATCACGACCAACGTCCATCACCTACTCACCGAGGAAAGTGGAGAGCATGAAGAACTGCAGGAAGATGTTGGCCACGTAGAGCAACTTCGTCATGAAGTAGAGGGCTAACAGGTAGCCGTTCTGCTGGCTCAAACGGCAGGAGCGTGAGCCGGTGCACACCGTGGCCACGCCAAGCAGCGTGTTCAGCTGCTCGCAGAACTCCACGATCAGCGACTCCCGGTCTGGGTGGCCTGCCAGGTCAGGTCAGGTCACCAGGTCAGGCCAAATCATCAGGTAAGGTCAGGTCACAAAGCTAGGTCACAAGGTCAGATCAAATCACCAGGCCAGGTCACTAGGTCATGCCAACGGGCCATGTCAGGTCAGGTCACCAGATCAGCTGCCAGGTGTTGAGGCTTAGTCCGATCACCGAGTTACGGTCAAGATGCAGATGTGGGAGGTCACCAAGCGGCAGTTACGCCACTGCGTCAAGTTCGGGTCTCAAGGTCAAGGACAGGCCGCTAGGTCAGGGTCAGGCTCCCAAGTCAGGGCCATGTCACCGGATCACAGTTTAGTCCGAGTTCGGTTCAGGAAGCCTGGTCAGGATCAGTTCATTGGGTCAGATGTAGGTCACTGAGTCAGGTGTAGGCCACTACATCATCGCCATGCCACTGGGTCAGGGTCGGGCTGCCACTTCATGCACAGATGCAACTGCAACTGAAAACCATCCTTTCTGATGGGTCCGATCACTTTTGGGGTTCATCGTTTTATGTATTCTTATGAATGTGTTAAGTCCAACAAACATTTCTATGCATATGTACTTTGTGTGTGTGTGTGTGTGTGTGTGTGTGTGTGTGTGTGTGTGTGTGTGTGTGTGTGTGTGTGTGTGTGTGTGTGTGTGTGTGTGTGTGTGTGTGTGTGTGTGTATGTGTATGTGTGTGTGTGTGTGTGTGTGTGTGTGTGTGTGTGTGTGTGTGTGTGTGTGTGTGTGTGTGTGTGTGTGTGTGTGTGTGTGTGTGTGTGTGTGTGTGTGTGTGTGTGTGTGTGTGTGTGTGTGTGTGTGTGTGTGTGTGTGTGTGTGTGTGTGTGCGCCAGCGTTTACGCCGTTCGTAAGCACGGGTATGTAAGATCATTGGGACAGAATATTTTCCCCCATGCATATGTTGATGGCGGAGAGAGACTACACAAATCAAGTTTGTTTGCTCTGTTTTTCAGGACTCCTGTTTGATATATCGGTGGTTAGCTAGCATAAAAAGCGCAGTTGATATGCAGGTGTTGTCATGCTACGGATTCTTAACGTTTGTTTGCTGGTGGCCGGACTGCCCGTTCGCGTGAGAAGCGCACGAAACGACACGAAACGAAACACGAAACGAAACGAAAACACGAAAAACCGTCTCCGGTCACTGAATGGACTCAGAATGTTCGCTCAATTGGTCGCTGGATGATCTCAAAATGGCGATTTTGAGTTAGACCATGTGTAGCTGTTTTGCACGCTCAGATTTCCTGTTATGTTGTGCTGTTGTGTTGTTCAGACACCGCCTGTTAAATGTGTGATAAGACTCCTAGGTCCGCTATGGTGGTAACGGCGCATACATCAGCCCTTGACGTAATCCACCGACTTGTTTGGCTTCCTGCGGCTCTCGTTGTTGCATTGTGTGCTACTGAAAGGTATGGGGAAAGTCCCTGACCATCTTGGTGATGTAATTATTTGCCTCTTCGCGGCTCGCGGGGAGGCAGAGTAACTGACCGTCGCGGGGAAAGGGAGGGAAGGAAGGTAGGGGGTTGGAGGTTGGAGGAGGATGCTTGGGAGGAGAGAAATTGGGAAGGGGCTGTCGCAGTGTGATAGCCAGCGTGCATTAAGACTAGATCGCACACCCTTGGGTCATTCGCGTCGTCAACCATCTGTGCGATTGTATTGCATCGTGTTTGTCAAGCTTACTGTCATTAAGAGTGGGTTACGTAACAGCGCGATCTGTGGGAGTAACATCTGTGATACAGGGTATTTCATAGGTCGTTATTTAGATCAAATATGTTGTTAATGTGGTGTTAGTTTGATGCTAATAGTGTTGTAGACGGATGTGCCATGTTGTCTTGACTATGTGTCGTGACTGTGCCAAAGCTCATTGTCGATGTTTGCCCGCGTGCTCGAAACTGAAATGTGTAAACAAGTATGGGAACAGAGGATGGGGAGTAGGCACTTGCTATCCACGAATCTGACCCGCCGTGGAGCTGATATTAGTTCTTGTCTGTCTCGGGTTCTGTGCTCGTGTTGAAGAGGTCAATAACAATTTAACGCATTTCGTTGTGAAAATGGATGCAGTCCGCTTTAAATGGTACGACCTAAGAACCGACGTAGCTCCATGAACGGTAACCTGGACCTACAGGAAGTTACGTGGCAGTTTCAGTTTTATTACTCATCGTGGTCAAAAGATTACACAACATCTGTGAAATTTCCAGGCTCATCGAAGTTTACTGGCGGGCGAATCTCCATCAGAGCATGGATCTAAATTTGCTGCCAACCTAACGGACGAACAAGTATGCTGGCTTTCGCCCCCCCCCCCCCCGTCCAACACTTCAGATTTCGGACAGAAATTTGAAGTCCTTACACGGGCGGTTGTCGTCCTGAGTGCAAACAAGGATGACTAGAGATCGTACGTAGGCACATTGAGCGATTTTCGTACACTGACCGGTGAATCCTGCCATTTTGAGATTAAGTAATTGGGAAAAGAGATGGCAAGGCGTGTTAGGGTTGTCTGCTGAATACCAACAATCTCACCAGCGTGACTAGCTATTGTGAATCGAGGTAAAACCACCAGAAGATAACATCTTTAGGGAGCTTGGTTTTAAAAAAGTCTGCATCTAAAGGCGAGAGGAACAATTTTCTCATGAATTCTCATTGAGATTTACGAAAACCTAAGTGCATGAGTCGAATATTAAAATGTTGGTGATGGTGGCGGCCGACAGCAGCGAAGGCACCTCAATTTTAAGACTGAATGCCTAATGTCTTCTTACAATGAAATATATCGTCAACTTCCTGAAAAGAGTGAAATGTGTTGTGAGTCGCATGCAAATGTAATGCAATGTTTGTGAGTAAGCCAGAAAGTCAAGGAACCCTCGGTGTTAGCTGGAAAGTGAATGGACCCCACGGTGTGAGCCGGAAAGTCGAGGGACCCTCGGTGTAAGCTGGAAAGTGAATGGACCCCACGGTGTGAGCCGGAAAGTCGAGGGACCCTCGGTGTAAGCTGGAAAGTGAATGGACCCCACGGCGTGAACCGGAAAGTCAAGGGACCCTCGGTGTAAGCTGGAAAGTGAATGGACCCCACGGTGTGAGCCGGAAAGTCAAGGGATCCCACCGCGTACGCAGGAAAGCCAGGAGTCTGACTAGATTTGGCATGATCGCAGATTTCTGCCGTTCCTCACATTTTTCCTTAACTACATCGCTGCAGCGTAGTGTATCATTCGTGGTGCAGCGGAGTACCCGCTAACCACGCATGGCGCTGTGGAAAACCCGCTCTCACCACACAACACCACACAGCTTCACACAAAATGATGTGCGCTTGGGTCTGAAATACCGCAGGTGGTGAAAGGAAGCCGAGGTCGGACGAGCTGGGTCGAATCAGGGCTAAACAGAGAAGCGGTTACACATACCACGTCGGGCATGTCAGTCACCAGGGCGGTGAAATCGGTGGTCAGCCGCAGCCGGGTAAGCTGGGTCGAATCAGGGCTAAACAGAGGAGCGGCTACACATACCACGTGGGGTATGCGAGTCACCAGGGCGGTGGAATCAGTGGTCAGCCGAGGCCTTACCCGGCTGCGGCTGGGTCGAATCAGAGCTTAACAGAGCAGTGGTGACACATATCACGTGGGGTATGTGAGTCACCAGGGCGGTGGAATCAGTGCTCAGCCGCAGCCGGGTGAGTCATCAGGGCGGTGGAATCAGTGGTCAGCCGCAGCCGGGTAAGCCGAGTCGAATCAGAGCTTAACAGAGCAGTGGTGACACATATCACGTGGGGTATGTGAGCCACCAGGGGACTGGAATTCGTGGTCACCTCTAGACTTGCGTTGCCTTGGGGCTGTTGAGCGTTCATTTTCCGGGCGGATGCTCTCGATCGTTCACATTCGCCGCCAACAAATGCAGGCTACAAATCATTTCTGAGCGATATAGCGCAGACCATGAAGAGCAGTTCGAGGCGGTGGCGTTTTGCTCGGAGGGAAGTGAACGTTGACTGGTTCGCTGCTGATGTGCGCGGCGATTTCGATCACGCACGACAGCAGCGCGCTTCCATTTCCGGGGCATGAGCGCACCCAGCGCGCGACAGAGAGGGGGCAACCGGCGATCTTCGCGACGTGGGGACAGCCGTCTTAACTGAATGCCAAACCTGCCAAACTTGACTTAACCCTGCCAAAGTGATTCGACCCATCACAGGCCACAAGCATTGACGTTCAATCGCGTCTCAAGCGGCTCCATCGCGGCGAGTTTCCTGTGCACTCTGGTGAGGCTGTCCACTTCCCTGGCGCCTCACCGCCCCGCGTCCTGGCGCCGCCCCTGCGTCCGAGAGACGGCTATCTTCACCAGCCGGCACGGAATCCGCATGATTCTCTCGGCGGCCAGCAGTTTCGAGTCGTTATCGCCGTGGGCGAGACGTTTATTCCCCGCCGGCGGCTACAGACCGCCTCAGGCGATCTCGGCGCCCGCTCCGAGCCGTGCCGCTGCCGCCGGGTGGGATGGGGTCAAGGTCATCGGAGGCTAGGCGGCTCGGGCGGCGGAAGTGGGAATCACCGCCGGGGATTTCACGAGTCGCTGGCTGGCGGCGGCGGCGACCAACAGGGGCCAGGGGTGGGCGTGGGCGCAGAAGAACCGGCATCGATCTGCAGGACAAATTCTCGAGAGTCGCCGATCTGTTGGGATGAATCACTCGGGGGCGGCTCTCGGAATCAGAGGGCCTCCGGACGATGACTGATGCCAAGGGGACCCGTCGAGGCAATGTTTCCCCAGCCCGATTTTCGCCGAGAGGGCAACGGGTTCTGGGAAGCCTTCAGTGCTCTCCGAGCTTGGTTTTAGCTCTTTGTTTCATGGCGGGTTGTCACGGTCTAAAGTCTGGGTCAATAGAGAAGCACGCTGCGGGCATTTGTTCCGGCACGAGTTGGGGCCCGCGCTGCCCCCCGCTTGTGGGCGGTACCTATGCAATCAGACTTTAACAAATTTGCAGGTTCATTAACATCAACGACTTCTCTGTAGGCTAAATGGAGGAAATGTCATTTTCCAAGCATAAACGTGAGCACGAACGTCTGCCCGCAATATGAACACTGCACCTGCATGCAGAGCACCGGCTGTATGACGTGTAACCTACCGTAAAACTTCGCGTTTTCACGAAGTGGGTGGCCAGTTCCCTTAAGATCAGGCAGCTGTTACCAAATGACTGGAAACAAACTGGCTAAGAAAAACATGTCGGGCTGTAGGTTGGTAGACTTGGGGAAGCCCTGCTGGCTTACAGACATAGAGGGACGCGTTCAGCAAGACAAAACTACGACCTGGCATTTGCGAATTGCCAAAATTAGTAAGTAGCTATCTTTACTTCAAAGCTTACTCGCATCACGTTGCAACACCATATTTCGGATAACAGAATGGCATAAATGCTGTCACTATTTGTCCACCAGCTTGTAAATGCAAAAGGTTCAATATGACCCCCGTGCTGTCATGGACGGATTTTACCTGGGGGGGGGGAGGGGCTTGGGAGTTGGAGACACTTTTCCAATTTGGTGCGAGCTACATTCGCATTCAAGAAAACCGGGTGTAAAATCAAATGTGTTCTATCATCTTATGAGCTTGCACAGTCTTAGTGCCTCCCATACGTAGATTCTTAAGACATAGACACCCAGCTGAATAAATTGTGCACCTCTACCTGATATTACTTTTTTAGAAATATGGGACCACGGAATGTCAGAGCCTAAAGGGACAAAACTGTATAGATGATATCGCCACCCAGCGTCCTGCTCTTGCAGCGGACGGATTCTAAATCAGTGGTATGAATCCGAATTATCACGCCCTGGTACTTTTTGGACCATGTGTAGGATGCATATTCAAACTTGGATTTCCCGGAATTTTACAACGAAAAATGTTTGTCACCAAGTATGTTATCGCTCCCACTGAAAATGCCAACAAATAGTTTAACTGGGTGCTGCGCGTGCATCTTTTCAAACTCTGACATGTTACCGAAAAGCCTGTTCTAAGGTGTTTTGAATTGCATGCAGCCTTTTCGCAACGATACGATTCGCTTAAAAAAATGGCGTGGTGAAAGGGCTTACATAAGGGGAATTACTGACGCAAACGCTGCGCATCTGGTTTCGCTCGTCACCGTATGAACACCGGCAAACGACAGCGATGAGCGTATTGCTCGCGAAATCTGCTCCAGTAGGTAATGCCGCTTACGTAAACGTCGACACGGCCTTTTCTCCTGAAATCCGTCCGTTTTCAGCGCAGTGCTGGACGCCAATCACATTACTTTATCTTAGAGTGTCACCGTGCGTTAGCGGTAATGGTCATTTCGCAATGCTGTGCACCACAACGCAAGCGACATCTCCGCCAAACGTGTTCAGGGCTTTATCCTCAAAAACGGCTGTGCGGCGCTGGGGCAGTGGACACGCTTCTCATTCGAATCACATTTGCCGGGAGGTAGAACAGTCCACTGACCTGGGGTGAACTGACAGATGACTGCTACCCGTTTCAGAAGACGGTGAAGTCGCACGCCGGAGCGGGATGCCACCGACGTCCAGACCGAAAACGGTATGTAAAAGCAGACGGCCTCCAGCATGAGGATAATCGGCGCCCACTGGTAGTACGATATAAACACCTGCAACAGGAGTGTAATGTATAATAGTGTAATATAATAAATAATGTAATAAGTCGTGCAGAGCAAGGCACTTACAACCGTGGCCGGCTGACGAGCAGATGTGATACGATAAAAGTAATGATGTCATATGATAATGATAATGATATGATAAACATATTGATATATTATGATAGCAATAGTGGTGAGGTGTCTGTGTGATGTGATGATGATAATGATATGTTGTGGTAAGGCGTAAAAGGATATAAAACGAGGAGTGTGTGATATGGTAATGATAATGATATTGGCATGATTTGATAAGGACAAGGACATGCTAATGATAATGCCTGTTATAAGTCAGCGTAAAACAGCGACAGATGGGATTTAATTTTTTAAATTTCACTTTCGGCAATTCGTAAACATTTAGCAACCATATCGTACAGGACAACAATACCCAGCAAAGATGACACACTGACCTACATAACGCAACATGAGAATGTTAGATCGACGCTTTTTAGCACAACGTCCCGTCGCGACAAAAGACAAGTTCTCAGGCGCAAAGTTCTCCGACACACGCTGCAGCGGCTGGTCGGTGGTCTGTCGCTGGCGCTCAGGCAATCTGGCCACCGGATAGCTCGGGACTGCGCGCCGCATGGAAAAAATGGAAAAAAAAACGAAAGTTGATGGTATCAGACCGCTGGAGAAAATCGCGCTGATGTCGTGAGCAATCCACGCCAATAGGAATGACGTTGTAAACCTTGTATTTTTATTTCGTCATATTTACGTTAACAGATAAAAACGTTATCTTTTTTATTTTGTTATAAACGTCCTTGAGCCTTTCTGAAATGTTTGTGCAGGAAAAATGTTTACTGGACTTAATTTGCGTGTTAGTTTACCGGCGGGCTGACTCGTAAATTGGCTGCTTCGTATAAATGCTTACATTTCAGGGCTTCAACAGACCTTACCATTCTGAGCGATGAAACACATTAGGTGCGAATGAGTTGTTTTCTGCGATTGCGACCAGTGTCTACAACACGCAGCTGCTGTTCTTTTATGTTCATAAAACTTGATTGGGCTACACGCCCGTGTGGTAAATTTGTTCCCGTTTTTCTCATGATAGGCCACGGTCATGATATCCGGGACAGAAAGCATTTCTGGAAAACGCTCTTCGACCTAAGTCCAGAACGTTCTAGGGCATGGACAAATAAGCTTTTGCTTTCAGAGCGCATTGCAAGTTGTATATCTCATAATGGATGCCGATGGCGGAATTTTTAACGAGTATACAACTGGCCATAGCGCACTCTATGGCGTGCTTGGTCGCATGTCTGACATGAGATAGAGTGCGCCAGATAGGACATCCATAGCGCATGCTATCTCATGTCTGGCATCCTAGGAGGTGCAAAGTCGCTACCAGCGGCGCACATCAACAGAACTATGCGGCAGTCGACAAGACGCTACAAATGACGCCGTTCTATAGAGCGTGCGGCCATCAGCCGTGTTCGGAGCAGGATCTCCGCCGGTGACGCAGTCGGAGCACAGCCAATCAGATCACCAGAATGACGCGGTGAGATCCTGTGAGACAAAGAGGCTGGCAAAATATTGGAAAAAGGCTGCGATGAAAAACCGCGGTACTGCGTGTTGCCGAGAGATCGAGCCGGACATTCGGCTTGATTAGCGTGACGCTGTGCGATGCGTCTCAGGTGATGAGATCCTACGGCTCGAGGTCTGTGTACGCTGGGAAACGCCCGGTCGGGCGGAGCAAGCTTCACCCGAGCTGAAGCGGTTGTCTTAAAAGACAGTACTGCTGCTAACGCAGTTCTAACCCTATCTGCCATCACCCACTGTCAAGAGCCCTTTGCACGAGTTTGAAAGCAGGATGTATGCTCTTTAAGCACAGTTTACTGTTGTACATTTGATATGATAGAGGTTTATCATAACGAGCGCAGGTAAACTGGATTAAAACACCACCGGTGCGATCTTTTTCATTATTCTAATGATGGCTTCCACTCAGCAAGAAGCGTGCTTGAGCAAAGCCTTCTCAGCGCTGTTCACATTGTTCACGAACATCTCACCTTGTCGCGAGTTTCGCCATCCCTCGTGTGGCCGTATGGACCGACCCTGGTCGGGCGCAGAGGTGCCCTCGGGCGAGACACGGACCCGGGACCCCTGGCCGGCGGGCTGGCGCGCGGCGCCAGGTAGTATGTGCTGGACGTCCAGCAGTATGAGTTGACGTATCTGTAACAGGTCCAGAGGCACGTAGTTGCAAAGGTCCAATTGTGCAAGATAACGTATCAGTAACAGGTACTACTTGCTAGATAGTTGCAGTTTGCAACGTCAAGGTTGGGGCGTAGTTCCGCAGGGTGAGTTGGGGCGGAGAGAGGCTGACCCGTGAGCAAATCGTGAACCTAACTGCCAACAATCCCCAACAAATGGGTCTCTCCCGTGACCTAGCTCGCTTTTTCTTAACGTCTGGGGGCTGCAGCCCAAGGATACTACGCCTCTGCGTCCAGGCATTGACGCGCCAAGTCGACGTGAGCGTCAAGTGACACGTGAAAAGTCAACGTGAGTGTCAAGTGACACGTGACACTCACGTTAACGGGTCAGCAAGCCCAACAGTAATCCGTTGGACTTGCACACGTATACGTCACCCCAAAGAGTTTGGGTGACGTTTACATGACAGGATCGGAGGCTCGAATTGACGTATGTATAACGGATCGAGAGGAAACAAGAGGCGACGCATAAGGAGGTTTAACGTAGCGGGTTCAGCTGCTGGTGGCAGCGTGGCTGTTACAGTTTCACCAGCACAAGTCGACGAGTCTGCAACAGGTCCATCAGAGGGGTAGACGGATCAGTGGCAGATTCGCAGCATCAGCTGAGATATGCATAACAGGTTGAGCTGTGTCAACTGACGTAGTCACAACCGGTCGGTACGAATAGGCGGTCCTGCAGATTGTTTTTCGTATATGTAACAGGCGCAGATTTACGGGTCGACTTCTCGGTGACAGGTGACAGGTGACAGGTGACAGGTGACAGGACTTCTCGGTGACAGGTACAAGGTGCAACGTCTGTTCTAGAGGCAAAGGAGGAGCGAGGAGCCAAGAGGACGGCACGTCCGTGTCTGGATCCGAAGATCTTGGCTTGATCTCCTCCTCCCCCCCGCACCACGAATCTGTAACATAATGTTAATGTGGCATATCTTGGTAGGCAGCCCGGCGGTTTAAGGATTGCCTCGCGACAATGCATTTGTTGGAGTGGGGAAGGGAGACGTAACGTCCCGGGTCACGGTCATCGGCCACGGTCATCAGTCACGAGATCTGATACAGGTACGAGTGACCTTTTGCTTAGAAAAGGTATCTAGGTTGAAGCTCGATGCGTAAGAAGGCTTAATGACGTTTCCAGCACGGACCTGGCGTTTGACTTTGTTTGATCTTATTTGTCCCGAACTTCGCAATCTAGGAAGCTCAAAACTTTACACAGATGAGTTCGCACTGAGCTCTACCTATCTGGTAGCACTGGTCTCCCCAGGTATCCTAGCTTGTGGTATATCGAGGGACAAATTTACCCTCCCGCACTCCACCCAGTATCTTCCCTTCCCCATTCCTCTAATCTCCCCTTATATGCCCCAAATGTTGAATCGATATTCAATTCAATTCAGTGATATTCGAGTGGTTGCCCGGACGAGCGTAAAACTCCCGGCAGGGCACAAGTGATGAAATTTGCACCCAATAATGATCAAATGCACACTAGGCCAAACCGCGAGCACACATGCGTACTATCACACAATTCGTGCTAGTGAAATAGTCAGGTACACTGCAGGGACCATCCGTTCAGTTGTCGCCCTTTCAGGCCGGGTTCGACATGTTGGACTCTCATTGCATTCAAGTCAGCTTGCAGTTGTTTGCGAGCGTTAGATTCACGGAAGCACGGTCTGCGAATGGCCACGTTTTTTTGGCCGTGCGCGAGGCGTAAAGTGTATCTGCGAGGAATTTTATGCGCATAGATAAGACAGTATTAATAGCCTTATTCCACGCGAATAAACCAGGAGAATGGATATATAGATGTGCTGATATTTAGCAGCATGCATTTATCATCTTGATGAAGGCATGCTACCGTAATATCAACGCATTTATTTCCCCATTGTATTGTTTTTTTTTCTACGAGGAACAAGGCTATTACTACTGCCTTATCTTTTTTCGACCATTTCACAGCATGTTTTTCACTGAAAAAATCTGGCCAAAACCGGACTGCATTAGGCCCATTGTCAAGTGATAGATGGCCCATGGCGACCTAATCAAAGCAGGCAAGTGATAGACAGGTCATGTGATTAGGCCCATTGTCAAGTGATAGATGGTCCATGTCGACCTAATCAAAACAGGCAGGTGATAGATAGGCCATGTGATTGGGTCCACTGTCAAGTGATAGATGGTCCATGGCGCCCATCAAAACAGGCGCTCCTTACCTCAGCACGAGCGGCAAGCGCGCTCTTGAGCCGCGGAGTTGGGCGAAGCGGGCCTATCGATTCCGACTAAACCAGTGAGATCACTCCATTATAGCTCCCGAGATAGCTGGGCAAAACATACGACGTTGGATCGATGCTTTCGGTGGTGGCGGGTTAACCCGCCGCTGACAGCAGTTTTAACGTCCCGCTTCAGTTTGGTTTTTTCTCTGACCAGGGACAAATTGGTCAGCTAACTAAAATTTCCAGTACGTCTTAGGAAATGTTCAAGGCACCATGTGTAAACGAAAATTGAGTTCCGGCCATCCAAAGTTAGGTCACAAAGCCTAATTAAACAGAGGATAATCGCCCTTTATACCCAGGTTGATAAGTGGCTACCAGGTTGCCGCAGGTATCAGGCACAACTTGCATACACATCAAAACATGGCGAAACGGTACTAACACGACCATGATTGAGGGCAATATGATGCTGAAGGCGTCCTGTCTCAGTTATGTTCAAATGCTTCTGCACACATTTCGAGCGGTATGCTTGTACCTTGGAGTACGAGTGTATGGCCCCTTGGCCAGAATTGGTGTCAGGTCACCATATCTGATATGCCAGCGCAGTCATATTCGGAAGCGCCGCATTACATTGTAGGCTTCTACAATGTGGATATATTTCAGCCCAATTCTGATTTGTGGACGGATGTAGCATGAATGTTCAATGACACTGCTTCGTACCGTCGACGCGAAGTTAAGAGCGCGCGCAGACGCGGCGTTTTCAAGCCTTGTACCTTGCAGTACCCCTGTTGAACGGGCGAACGTCTGTGCGATTGCGGTGCGTTTATTGAATGGCGGCTGTCGCTGGTGGGCGGAGGCGGTGTTAGACAGGTGTTGCCAACCCGGTGTATCTGGAAACAACGTGAGTGAGTTGAAACTTTGTGTTTATGAACGCAGCGTCCCATTTACGACGCGGTAACTTTGGTCTTGCACAAGCTTAGTTTGCCAACGTCTCATGCCTTCGTGCTTTTCGTACCTTCCTACAATGCTTTCTAAATGCGGTTTATGGTTTCTCAGAGGGGGGGGGGGGGGGAGGGGAGCCCTGTCTGACATCCTAACTTGGTCCCTTAAGGCTTCATCTGGTTCATGACTTGTAATTCGCGTCATGAGGCCAGGATGGCTTGCATAAAAGGTAATATTATCCAAGGCCAAGGCTTAACAATCTCACAAAATGTTTATTCTCGACGAAACTGACTCCGAAATGTTTCTTTTACCTTTGCGTGCAGAATTCGGAGTTAATCTAACTGCTGAAACACGGCTGTCGCTACAATATCACAGAACGTCAGTTTAAGCCCCCAGGTCATCCTGGCATGTCAAAATGACATCACGCATTCAAGTCATGAAATCGTAGGTGGTTACCAACTGCAGCATGCCTGGAATCCAAAGGCGCGGGAAGGCCTTGTGTTGGGTTCGTCTAAACTGCCGGCGGTCCAAGACTTTGCCAATGAAAAACACACCTTGGTGATTTCACTTTCTGGCAGTATATAATGGCGATACCTTATGAAATTTCGCAAAAGTTTGCCTGTTTCCAATCAATCAGACAGTCGTGTAAGTCGTGTTTCGCCCCCAGGCCGAAACGATATTCGACCTCTTGACCTGGCATGGTTTAAAGGCACACATCCGTAACACTTACTTGGTTGCCTTTAATAAATGTTGTAGGCACTTCACATATACAAATATACTATAGTGCGTCCTAGTGTCGAGGCATTAAGGTGCTTGTGAGCGTGTTTGAGTATCACATGGTACACAATTTTTCGAACTTACCGATGTGACCTGACATGGACCAATGCTGTTTTTTGGAGGCGTACACATGCCTTCCGAGAGTACAGCAGATGGTCTGGTTTGTGTGTTGCAGTAAAGCTGGTAAATTTGTGGTGAATTCACGAATATGGAATACGCTACATAACACAGAGCGTTTAACGTGATATTGCAGCCTTAAGACCAGCTGGGATATTCTGTAATTTCAATCAGTCTGATTGACTTCTCGATTCCTCAGATGTTCAACAGTCGGCGATGATAAACGCCTCCCATCTTCAATGAATAGAGGTTGATAAACGCTAACAGATGTCGTTTTAATGGATACCGCCCAAACCTACATGGCGGGTTCCAATGACCCCATGATCGTAAGTTTCCGAAAAAACCTTCCCATTAAAATGCACGCAGGTTGGATGAAGCACATCATATTACCAGTGAATCCGGTCTGGTGTGACGCTAGCAGCGCCAGAGAGCCCTCGAGGCCAGAGGCCCCAAGACCCTAGCAGCGCCCCCTTGAGACCACAGCAGCGCCAGAGGGCTCTCGGAAGTGCATCAGAAGCTCTTGTAACCTCGTTTGTATTTGTCTTTACCTGTTCCATCTTTGATGGACCAAATTAACTGGCCGCTTTGCAGTTAAGCGAGATTGTTTGCCCGACAGTGCGGAGAATGTGGGTCCACCCACCGGGTCTTGGATCCGGATCTCTAAAACCCTGGCCCAATGTGCCAAACACTGAACCACGGGGCACCATGAACTGATCGCACTTTACCTAGTTTTGGTGTTGTGCTTCTACCGAGTGGAAAGTATATGAGGGTTTGATGATGATTGGGTGATGATTGAGTGATGATTTTGGTCCACCAAGGCTAGAATGGCTGAATAAAAGCAAACATCAATACACCCAGCTCAAACAGCTTCAAACACTTGCAGCCTCATAATGAATATCTGTCTATATATATATATATATATATATATATATATATATATATA